AAACGTTCAGGGGCTTGGGGCTTTTGTTTCACCCACCTCAAGCCTTCAACCTGAGAGCAAAGCTCCTTGGCAGCATCTTCTACATTCGGGTCTCTTTCAAGGCCGAGGCCCTTTTCATCAATCTACTTATAGAAAATAGCAAGACTTGACCCTAAGCCCTACAACCCTTCTCCTCATTTCGGTGGCGCTGCCCTCCACCACCCCTTCACCGGGGTAGACTCCGAGCCATGCGCTTTCACACATTGCCTATCCACGACCGTCTGCAAAGACCTGGCCCCTCGGAACTGCTCCTCATGGATCTCTGGGTTGAGGCCCGTGTCCAACGTTCTGAACATCTCGACCGCGAAGATGCGTCCCCGCAAGTTGTCGTCATGGCTGGCCTCTTCTGCCATGAAAGATTTGCGGGCCCCTCCAGATTCCGAGCTTACCTATATGCCCTGAAGCTGGAACGTCCTAAGTCCTAAGCTTGTGATTGTGGGTTTGGGGGTTTAAGGTTTTGTTTGGAACTTGAGGTTTAAGCCTAGAGGAATAAGCAAACTCCGAAACCCTAACCCTGACCCCTAAACCTGTTCTTTAAGGCTTCCCCCCCAAACCCTAAACCCCATTGCCCCCCCCCCCCGCACAACACGGCCTGGAAGCCCATCAGCCACCTCAGATCTTTGTTGGATCGAGGGAGGCTGGTAAACCGGAAGCGCCCTCCACTTGAAGCCCGAAACATGAAGTGCAGTTGAGGGTTCAGGGTTCAGGGTTTGGGGATGAGGGTTTAGGGTTTAGGGTTCAGGGTTTAGGGTTTGGGGTTTAGGGTCCCAAGTTGCAGGATTTGGGGCTTCCTTGCTCGCGTTGTATGCGGGCGCACGCAACTCCTCCAGCCGGCCCGTCTACCGCAAGCTCCACTCCCATGGGGCGAGGGTGCAGAACATGTGGGGGGGATCCGAAGATCCTAAACCCCGAAACCCTCAACCTTTTGGGGGGTACCTAGAATGGGGATTTGTAGAGTTTTGCTTTGGGGGGGGGGGGGGGGGCCGACAGGACACGTGACACCCACGGGAAGCGGTTTAGGCTTAGGGTTTAGGGTTTAGGGCTTGGGGCTGTTTAGGGCACTCCAAAACCTACAACAACCAGAGGATCCATCCATGCACCCTGCCCACCCACCCACCCCCCAAAGCAATGGAGAGCGCACACCTCGCATGAAGCCCCTCAACCCTGCAGCTGCGAAACTCCGAACCCAAACCCTAAGCCCCCGGCCTCCCAAATCGCCAAATCCAAAACCCTAAACCCCAAAAGAGCCCAAAACGCTGAACCTGAAACCAACCCTGAATCCTGTAAACCCTTTCAACCCTAGCCAATATATCCTGTACAACCTACAAACCCTATAAACCCTATATAACCCCTTAAATCCTGTAACCCTAAACCCGAAACCCTCAACCCCAAACTACCCGCGTTTGCGAACTCCAAGTGACCAGCAGCTTTGCATCGCCCGGTCGCCAGGCCCGGAAGGAGCCTCAGGTTGGGGCATTTCCGGGGTTTAGGGTTTAGGGTTTAGGGCTTAGTGGGGGCTTCGAGGGGTGAAACGCCTAAGCCGCAAACCCTCAATCCTAAGTCAGACGGTTTTTAGGGCTGAGGAATTATGTTTTGGTTCTACCGTCTAGTCCAGGGTTTGGGTGTTTGGGGGGGGGGGGTGGGGGGGTGGGTGGGAGGTTGCAGTTTGGTGTTTAGGGTTTAGTGTTTAGGGATGTTTAGGGTTTAGGCCTCCAATTGAAATTTGCTGTTTAGGCTTCAGGGTTCTAACACGCCGAATAAGGGCATCGCTTAGACTTCTGTAAGGGAGAAATAGGGGCACTAAAGGATGCGTAAAGGGCACATGAGAGGCGTAGAAGGATACTTCCCGAAGTAGGGGCATCCCTTACCATGTCTGATAAATACGTCAAAGCTAATGCTTAGCTTAGGCCTCCCCCCCTCAAGAACCAAAATAACAACAATGAGCTTACAGTTCGGGCTTTGGCTTGAGTTTCGGGTTTGGGGGCCTTGTTGTGCTTAGGCTACACCCCTGATTCACTCCCCCTCAACTCGGTTGGAAGCAGAGGTGCTCCCCAAGACCTGGGCAAAGAGAGCTTCATCACCTTCGTGAGGGCTCCAGAGGACCATGGCACAGCAGGCCCCCCTGAGAAGCTCTGTGAAGGGAAGGGAAGGGAAGCTGCCAGCCTTTAAATCCCTACCGACGCAGCGAGCCCAGATGTTACACTTCGATTTCGAAGCCAAACCTTAAAGTCTGTAGGGCTCTATTGCGAGCTCAAGTGCGTTCCTTCATGAATGGGGTTTGCGTCTTCCGAGCTTTGATCTGACGGGTTTTGATTGAATGCCCGTCCCAGTGGTCCTGAACGGCTGCTTCGAAGAAGTGGATCATCCAGGGTACAATTTGGGGGCCCGGAAAAATCCCAAGTTGGAGTGTATAGGGTCTTCTAGGGCGATACACAGTGGTTATCTAGGCCTAGATCGGATCAGGGTCCAGAAGACTTCAATATTCTATTGCAGATCAACCCCGGTAGTGGCTGGGCAGGGTCCTGACCCAAGACCTTAGCAACACAACAGCAGCCCTTTGGGTCATGTAATTGTTCTGAATATACACATATATGTGTGCATATAAATATATATATATGTGTGTATAAGTACGATAAAAAATGCAAAAAAAAAAAATGGATGTGCGAGCGAAAAGTACACCATCATACACCGAGAATGCCCAGACATACCATGAGGCAGCAAGCCGCAAGTGTATTGAAATAGCTTGATTTCTTGGCGGAATTTGGCTTTGTCCTGGGACCAGAAGCTACGTACTCTATACTCCAGACCCTACACCAAACCCTAAACCCTAAACCCTAAACCCTAAACCCTAGTAACCCTAAACCCTAAACTCTAGTAACCCTAAACCTACTAGCCAGAGCAATACTTGGACTTGAGCAGCCCATGATCACACAGCTGGCCGTGCATCTGCCCCTTGTCTGGGCTCGTACGCAGCTTTCCCAGATACTCCACCCCCTTCCAGGGAGGCTTGTGGTGCAGATCCGTGAGCACCAGCCGCTTCTTCTTTTGAGGACGACCTGTCACCCACAGGGGGCGATGGCCCTTCTGCGTGTAGAGGCAGTTGATCTCGCGCAGCTCCGGGCTGTTCATCTCGCAATACTGCCGATAGAATCCCTTCGACTCCAATCGCTGATCCATTGATGCCACATCCAATACACCTTCATACATGGCATCTTTCTTGGGCAGGTCTTGAATTTCCAGGAAAATGTTCTGCACTCTTCGCAGCTGTTCACCTGCGCCCTCCAGGCACGGCCACTCATGACCTTGGATATCAATCTTGACGAGCTGTATCTCCACTTCAAGTGGCAACTGCTCCAAGATGTCCGCGAGGGTCATGGCATCTACTTCCATTTTCTTGGGCGTCTTGCCCACACACTCGCCGTTAAAGACCTTGCTATGTCCTGCACGAGTTCGACGCAAGCTGTTGCACTCCTGCAATGGGTGCACGTAAAAGGTGATTTTCGCAGGCGAGAAGTCCGTACAAGCTGCTCGCACCACATGGAAACGATCGCGGGTCTCGTTCTTCAAAAGGATGGCCTCCACCTGATCAGCAAAAGAAGGCGTCGGCTCCACGGCGATCAAGAACAAGTCCCGATCTTCCTTGAGATCCCGTCTGAAATCACACCTGCCGGCCGTACCGATGTCAAACCATACTCTCCGAAAACCCTGGGGCAGCCAAGACGGCCTGGGAGGCCCGGTGGGCCCGCTGGAGCCAGTTTCTGTAAGCACTTGGCCGCCGGGCTCCGCATCTATGACGGGCAGCTTGATGGAACCCAAGGAAGGTGGACGAAGAGCGGTGCCGAAGTAGTACATGTACAGCACGGGGAACGAAGCAAGGATCGCCAAAAGAAACACCTGCTGCCATCTCTGCATGCGGAAGCCAACAACGCACTAAATTTGCTATTCAAACATAGCCCTACAACTGCAAGATGTGAGAAGTATATAAACCCAATACTGAAGGTACATCTGACCTCAGCTAATCAATGCTTGGACGGTGCCCTCAATAGCCTCAAAACCCTCAAAACTCTAAACACTCTCAAAACCCTCAAAGCCCTCAAAGCCTTCAAAGCCCTCAAAACCCTAAATACCCTTCATGCCCTCCAAAACGCCTAAACCCCTTAAACCCTAAACCCTATCCTCAGCTCCGAGGAAGGCTTGGACAAAGCAAAAGCAGGCCCACCGCAGCTCTCTCACCATTGGGGCTGATGGGTTGGGGATCTAGGGACTCAGGCTTCAGTTTCCTCGGGATCCAGGGTTTAGGGTTGAGGGTTTAGGTGACTGAAGGGTTTAGGGTTTGCGGGTTTAAGGGACTTCAGGGTCTCGGGTTTAGGGTTTGGGGTTGAAGACCTTCTGGGGATTCAGGATTTCGTGCTTGAGGCTCAACTACGAGGCTCTTCGAGCGTTGGGCATTGAGGGTTCAGAGGAACCCGTAGGTACTCGCTGAACCTAAACCCTGAACCTTTGAAGCCTAAACCCTGAGTCCCTAAACTTAACTCCTTGAAAGCTCCAGACCCTAAACTTACCCTTGAAAACCCTAAACCCTAAACCATTGCAAAACCTACACCCTAAATATTAATCATTGAAAGCCCTCAGCCCTAAACCCCTTGAAAACCCTAAACCCTGAACTCTTGACAACCCTAAACCCTACATCCTTGAAAGCCCTAAACGTTCAGGGTGCAGGGTTTAGGGTTCGGGGTTCAGGGTTTAGGGTTTCGGGTTTGGAAGGGTGCAGGATTCAGGGTTTAAGGGGTTCATGGGTCTAGGGTTCAGGATTTAAACGCTTCAGGGTTTGGGGGCTTCATTGGGTTTATGCCTTTATGCGGTTTGGGGCTTGGGATTGAGGTCTGCGGTCGAGGGCCATGTGGGTGGGCTCTTTGTGGGCACTGTTTTTCAGGCACAGGGTGGTCGGTGCCGAGCAGGCTTCACTGCTGCTTCTTGTCGTCCTGCGGCAAGTCAGGCCCAGTAACCCGAAGCATTTACGGGACCCCAAAGCTCAATTTGAGGAGGGCGCCAGCTACAAGTTGATGACCTGAGTTCAGAACTCGCTTCGGGCCAACATATCCTACAGGCACCGAAGTCCAAAGCCTTTTGCAGGTGCGCGCGGAGATCTGGCCACAACAAGGGCCACAACAAAAGCAATCCTGTCGCCTACATCTCGGTAGGTTGCCGATGCATGCTGGCGTACCACCACTGGTAGAACAGCAAGAACAAGTACAGGGCGCCACGACATGCAACGTAAGATGCAAGATTCGTGGCTTCTGCAGAAGCGGGTTCTGATAGACAAACCCTCAAAAAACCTGTTCGAACTCCACCGGGTCTCACAGATTACCAGAATCCTGTGCAGACTCCTGGCAAGAGAAGAATTACCGAAGCCGCCCCGCCTCTGACGATTTCACAGCTGCCGGCGCCGGGCATTGCGAGTAGGCGAAGACGCCCCCTGGGCTTCGGGTCCAAGGTCTCCAGGAGTTTAGGGTTGGGCCTGTAGTCCTCTTCTTCTGGTCGCTCAAGGCTTTGGAGTTTCGTGTTCCTTGGCACCCTGAACCCTAAACCCTAAATTCTGAACCCTAAACCCTAAACCCGAACCCCAGCATTGGGAGGGGGGTTGTTGAAACTTAGGGGCCCCCCTTTTCAGGAGAGGACTGCCAGCAAAGGAGGCGGCCACGCCGGATCCTAAGGCCAGCCGATGGCAAGTCCGAAAGCCCCGCCCAAAACCCCTGAAACCTAAAACCCCAAAACCCTTGAGGGTTTAGGGTTTCGGGCTTAGGGTTTAGGGTTTAGGGTTTAGGGTTTAGGGTCTAGGGTCTGGGGCCAATTTAGCTCAACCCCTGGGTTCCCGCGCCGAAGATGGCAACGGTCGCGACGCTGTGCAGCACCGTCCAAGGGTTCCTTGGGGATGATGGGCCGGGGGTTCAGGGGGTTTAGGGTTCGGGTTTAGGGTTTAGGGTTTAGGGTTTAGGATTTAGGGTTTAGGGCTAGGGTTGAAAGAGAGATGCGGATGTTTTGCGTATTTAGGGTTGATTCGGGCGATTTAGGGTTTAGGGTGTTTAGGTTTAGGGCTTACAGCTATGTAGGGTTTAGGGTATTTAGGGTTTAGGGCTTAAGGTTGATGAGTTTAGGGCTTTGGGTATTTAGGGATCAGTGCTTAAGGTGCATTAGGGTTTTGCAGGGTTGAGGGTCTTTCGGGTGTAGAACCTAAGGTTGATTCGGGTAAGTTAAGGGTATTTTGCGTTAAGGGGGTAAGGTTGATGGTGGGGGGCGTTTAGGGCTTCATGCTGATTAGGGTTTAGGATGTTTAGGGCTGCCTTTCATGCTAAGATCTCTTATGTAGGTAAGGTCTATCCCTTTGGGAAAGAATTGGGAGTCTGGGTGCATCTACAAGGAAGTATACAAGGAGATGCTACCATTCATGCCAGGAGCCCCCTATGCAGTCTGAGGAATGTTCCTTGAGTCGTATAGGGTCTGCTACGGAGGGCGGGGCTCTATGGGACTAACAAGTGGAAACCCCAAAGGCACACCGCGGACGAACCCTTAAAGGGGTATAAACCCTAAACACAGGGGCGAGTGGGCCGGTCCAACAAAACCTGGAACCTCCGAGTTGTTGGAGATACAGCAAAGTTGGGGGATTTAGGGTTTCGGGCTTGGGGTTTAGGATTTAGGGCCCGGGTTGAGGGGAGGTGCGGCTCAAGGCACCCAAACCACAGGATAGATACGATCACGGAGAGGAACTTCCTCGCGCGCGTGATGGGGGCTTGTGGAAGCCGGGCTTCAAGCAGGGTTTAGGGTTTAGGGCGTTGGGTTTGAGATTACCTGCCGGAAAGTCCTGGGGCTTTCTGAGAGGCTGTTGCTGTTCAAGCATCGACCATGGAATGTAAGATACAACCACCTCCCGTCTGGCCTGACAGCACAAATCACCAGCACTCCAAAATCAAAACCCCCAACAATAACCTCCAGAACCCTGAACCCGCAAAATTCCAAAACCCTGAAACCAAACCCTGAACCCAAAACCTGAAACACCCCAGAAACCCTCATTACAAGCCCCAAGCCTTAAGACCTAAACTTAACCCTAACTAAACCCAGAAAACCTATAAAACCCTAAATCCCTGAACCCTCCTCACTGACAAGGTGATGTTCACAGTCAGTGGGCTGAAGTGGGCAGAGAGGCGAAACACCTCGGTCTGACCGCTTTCGAAGAAGTTTCGAGGTTTTGGGCCTCGGGTTGAAGGATGTAGGGTATTTAGGGTTTAGGGGTTAGGGTTTGGGGTATTTAGGGTTTAGAGGTTGATTAGGGCTATTTAGGGTTTAAGGGTGTGGGGCTTTAGGATCTGGAGGTTTAGGGGTGGGTGTAGGGGCCGTCTGCAAGGATTCAGAAGCCCCAAACGGGGATTAGGGCTTAGGGAAAGGAAGCAGCTGAGAGCCAGGCCCCTTTTATGCACACCAGCTGGCACAGGTTGTTGGCCAAGAAATACCTCGACTGTCTCTCAAGATGCAGGAGGTCTGTGTCTCGGGGGTTTTTAGGGTTTGGGGCGGAAGGAGCCCGAAACCCACAGACCTGAACACTAGTGGCTTCAGAAACCCTAACACCTAAACCCTAAACCCTAAACGCTCCAGATCCAGAAGTGGGTGCTTGCCTGAAAAGTAGATCTCGAAAACTCTCCGGTAAACCAGGCCACGTCGGTTTGGAAACCCTAAACACCCTGGAAGCCCAAACCCTGAAACCTAAGAACCCTAAGAACCCTGAGAACCCTAAGAACCCGAAGAAGCCCTAAACCCTAAGAACTCTACACCACAAACACTGTAAGTTGTGGTTCGGGGTGGAAACTGGTTGCAGGGCGCAAGGAGGCATGCTCAAACTCTAGCTTCTTGCAAAACTTCGGACGCTGCCCACCTCAACTTCCCCACGCGGAAGCTGGTTGAGGCTTTAGGGTATAGGGTCTAGGGTTCAGGGTTTAGGCTTTAGGCTTCAGGGTCTAGGGTTTAGATCACTCAGCAGCCGGCAATAGCTGGGATGGGATCGGCAGCCAGTCCACCACAGGGGGCGAGCTCCAGGCAAGCCTGAAACCAGCGTTCCGAGAGTTGCATCACAAGCCCTCTTGTTTGGGCCTTTGGACTTGGGGGCTGGGCCCTAAACCCTACAGTAAACCCTAAACCCCAAACCCTAAACCCTAAACCCTGCGAATCTGAAACTGCCAGAGGGTACGCAAGCGAGGAGAGAGCTCTGTACCCCAACGTGCGAAACCCAGGGGCAGCCCCCTCAGGCCCTCAGGCCCTGCACCCTAGGTCCTACCTACCCTACACCCTGGTGCGGAAAGCAGCTCGAGGATGGGTGCAGAAAGCATCTCGAGGATGTGGTCCAAATTCGGGAGTGAGATTAGGATTTAGGTTTAGGGTTCACGGTTCAAGGCTTTCGTCGCTTTCGTCTTGGGGGTTCAGGGTTTAAGGCTTGTATGGGGATTGTGCTTCAGGTTTCAGGTGAACCCCTAACCCTTGAAACCCCCAAACCCCTACAACCCCCTAAACCCCCCTAACCCTAAACCCTAACCCTAAACCCTAAACCCCCTAACCCCAAGCACCTCCCGGCAGCCAGCACGTCCGACCAGAGGAAAACAAAGGGCAGAAAGCTGACCTAGGGTTTTGGGTTTGGGATTTAGGGTGGGTTTGGGGGGGTTTGTGGTTTGGGGTTTGGGGTTTAGGGTTTAGGGTTTAGGGACGGAATTGCAAGGTTTGGACTGAGGGCTTGGGGGCAGCGGGGGTGGGGGGGAAGGGAAGGTTTAAGAAGGGGGTTTAGGGTTTAGGGCTAAGGGGCTCAGGGGGTTATCAGGTTCAGGATCGCTCAGGCTTTACCTGCTGTTGGTTAGTAGGTTCCTCCAGATCGACTAGCGTCTCCCCCGTTCAACTTCTTGTTGGTTCGTAAGGGGAAGGAAAGAAACTAATCACAATAATCAAAGGAACGATGGCAAAAAAACAACAGAAACACAAAAAAGTAGTTCTGAACAATGCATAGCAAGGCAACTTCTTAAGTTGCTGCAACTTGCGCAAGCTGCGGGTCTTTGACAATGGTAGCTTGCGTGACGACCTAGATGCCAGGCCCTTGCGTCTGAATTACCGGGCAAAAGACTGGGGGGTTTTGAGGTTCGAGCACGCGGGAAACTGCCCCACATCAAATCCGGGCCGAGCAGCCACGTGTGAGGTAAAGAGAAACTCCTCCGCCAGTTCACCTTTGGTCCCGCGGAGGCAGTGTAGCCTGCAGGGTTCAGGGCTGAGGTTTGGGGCTTGGCGTTTCGGATGTTAGGTCCACAGCAAACTACTGCTAAAATCTGCTTCTGACTCCTGTAGTACCAGAGTATAGTACCGAAAGCAAACCTGGCACTAACACCAGAAGCCAGCGTTGAAAACAAGCGTTGAAAACAAAACCCAACTACTAGAAATCAGCCTTGGAGTGTAGTACCAGTTCGGATACGCGTATTCGGACTCACATCCAGGTTGCTCGTTCAGGGAAAGAAGGAGCGAATTTCCCCTCTGGGCAACTCCCCAAATTCGCCCTTGACGATCCTTTCGGCACGTGGGCAAAAGCCTAAGTCAGCATTTAACCGCCCTTGCCTCCTAACTGCTGAAAACCCCACCTCCTGAACCTATCGAGCCAAACTGAACATGGAAGAAGCTCCTGAACCCTAAACCTGGCCTGTAGAGATAGGCCTGCGTGTGGCCCAGGAAGCCTTGCAAGAGCTGCACGAAAACCAGCAGCGCGATGCCAAAGGTCCACCTGGAATAAGGCTTGTGGGAGGGGAGGGGGGGCCCTTCCAAAAAACACAAATCTAAAGCAGGGGCGGGGAGGGCAAACGTTGGGACGGGCAGCGGCTGATGCTCATGATGCTGGGCGGCATCCGGGCCCGTAGCAGCTGATGCTCATGATGCTCGGCTGCGGCTGCTCGTGACGCTCCAGCGGCTGGCCACACGGTGGGACAGCCAGCGGCTGATTATGCTCGGGCACGGCTGGCCACGGTGGGACGGGTAGTAGCAGCTGATGCTCATGATGTTCGGCGGCTGCTGGCGGTGGGTTGATGCTCGGCGGCCGCTGGCTGCTGCCCATACGGTGGGACAGCCAGCGCCTGATGCTCATGATGCTCGGCGGTGGCCGGCCACACAGTGGGACGGCTAGCGGCTGATGCTCGGCGGCTGGCGGGCAGGACCCACACGGTGGGACGGCCAGCGCCTGATGCTCATGATGCTCGGCGGTGGCCGGCCACGCAGTGAGACGGGTACCGACTGATGCTCATGATGCTCGGCGGCTGCTGGCGGGCAGTGGGACGGCTAGCGGCTGATGCTCATGATGCTCGGCGCCCGGGGCAGCTGCCCACACGGTGGGACGGCCAGCGCCTGATGCTCATGATGCTCGGCGGTGGCCGGCCACACAGTGGGACGGGTAGCGGCTGATGCTCATGATGCTCGGCGGCTGCTGGCGGGCAGTGGGACGGCCAGCGCCTGATGCTCATGATGCTCGGGGGTGGCCGGCCACACAGTGGGACGGCTGGCGGCTGATGCTCATGATGCTCGGCGGCCGGTGGCGGGTGGGACGGCCAGCGCACTGCCAGCGCCTGATGCTCATGATGCTCGGCGGTGGCCGGCCACGCAGTGAGACGGGTACCGGCTGATGCTCATGATGCTCGGCGGCTGCTGGCGGGCAGTGGGACGGCTAGCGGCTGATGCTCATGATGCTCGGCGGCCGCTGGCGGGGGGGACGGCCAGCGCACTGCCAGCGCCTGATGCTCATGATGCTCGGCGGTGGCCGGCCGCGCAGTGAGACGGGTACCGGCTGATGCTCATGATGCTCGGCGGCTGCTGGCGGGTGGGACGGCCAGCGCCTGATGCTCATAATGCTCGCGGGTGGCCGGCCACACAGCGGGACGGCTGGCGGCTGATGCTCATGATGCTCGCGGCTAACAAGTCAAAAAAACGCCTGATGCTCATGATGCTCGGCGGTGTCCGGCCACGCAGTGACACGGGTACCGGCTGATGCTCATGATGTTCGGCGGCTGCTGGCGGGCAGTGGGACGGCTAGCGGCTGATGCTCATGATGCTCGGCGGCCGCTGGCGGGTGGGACGGCCAGCGCCTGATGCTCATGATGCTCGGGGGTGGCCGGCCACACAGCGGGACGGCTGGCGGCTGATGCTCATGATGCTCGCGGCTGGCGGGTGGGACGGCCAGCGCCTGATGCTCATGATGCTCGGCGGTGTCCGGCCACGCAGTGAGACGGGTACCGGCTGATGCTCATGATGTTCGGCGGCTGCTGGCGGGCAGTGGGACGGCTAGCGGCTGATGCTCATGATGCTCGGCGGCCGCTGGCGGGTGGGACGGCCAGCGCCTGATGCTCATGATCCTCGGGGGTGGCCGGCCACACAGCGGGACGGCTGGCGGCTGCTGCTCGTGATGCTCGCGGCTGGCGGGTGGGACGGCCAGCGCCTGATGCTCATGATGCTCGGCTGTGTCCGGCCACGCAGTGAGACGGGTACCGGCTGATGCTCATGATGTTCGGCGGCTGCTGGCGGGCAGTGGGACGGCTAGCGGCTGATGCTCATGATGCTCGGCGGCCGCTGGCGGGTGGGACGGCCAGCGCCTGATGCTCATGATGCTCGGGGGTGGCCGGCCACACAGCGGGACGGCTGGCGGCTGATGCTCGTGATGCTCGCGGCTGGCGGGTGGGACGGCCAGCGCCTGATGCTCATGATGCTCGGGGGTGGCCGGCCACACAGCGGGACGGCTGGCGGCTGATGCTCATGATGCTTGCGGCTGGCGGGTGGGACGGCCAGCGCCTGATGCTTATGATGCTCGGCGGTGTCCGGCCACGCAGTGAGACGGGTACCGGCTGATGCTCATGATGTTCGGCGGCTGCTGGCGGGCAGTGGGACGGCTAGCGGCTGATGCTCATGATGCTCGGCGGCCGCTGGCGGGTGGGACGGCCAGCGCCTGATGCTCATGATGCTCGGGGGTGGCCGGCCACACAGCGGGACGGCTGGCGGCTGATGCTCATGATGCTGAGACGGGTACCGGCTGATGCTCATGATGTTCGGCGGCTGCTGGCAGTGGGACGGCTAGCGGCTGATGCTCATGATGCTCGGCGGCCGCTGGCGGGTGGGACGGCCAGCGCCTGATGCTCATGATGCTCGGGGGTGGCCGGCCACACAGCGGGACGGCTGGCGGCTGATGCTCATGATGCTTGCGGCTGGCGGGTGGGACGGCCAGCGCCTGATGCTTATGATGCTCGGCGGTGTCCGGCCACGCAGTGAGACGGGTACCGGCTGATGCTCATGATGTTCGGCGGCTGCTGGCGGGCAGTGGGACGGCTAGCGGCTGATGCTCATGATGCTCGGCGGCCGCTGGCGGGTGGGACGGCCAGCGCCTGATGCTCATGATGCTCGGGGGTGGCCGGCCACACAGCGGGACGGCTGGCGGCTGATGCTCATGATGCTTGCGGCTGGCGGGTGGGACGGCCAGCGCCTGATGCTTATGATGCTCGGCGGTGTCCGGCCACGCAGTGAGACGGGTACCGGCTGATGCTCATGATGTTCGGCGGCTGCTGGCAGTGGGACGGCTAGCGGCTGATGCTCATGATGCTCGGCGGCCGCTGGCGGGTGGGACGGCCAGCGCCTGATGCTCATGATGCTCGGGGGTGGCCGGCCACACAGCGGGACGGCTGGCGGCTGATGCTCATGATGCTTGCGGCTGGCGGGTGGGACGGCCAGCGCCTGATGCTTATGATGCTCGGCGGTGTCCGGCCACGCAGTGAGACGGGTACCGGCTGATGCTCATGATGTTCGGCGGCTGCTGGCAGTGGGACGGCTAGCGGCTGATGCTCATGATGCTCGGCGGCCGCTGGCGGGTGGGACGGCCAGCGCCTGATGCTCATGATCCTCGGGGGTGGCCGGCCACACAGCGGGACGGCTGGCGGCTGATGCTCATGATGCTTGCGGCGGGCGGGTGGGACGGCCAGCGCCTGATGCTTATGATGCTCGGCGGTGTCCGGCCACGCAGTGAGACGGGTACCGGCTGATGCTCATGATGTTCGGCGGCTGCTGGCAGTGGGACGGCTAGCGGCTGATGCTCATGATGCTCGGCGGCCGCTGGCGGGTGGGACGGCCAGCGCCTGATGCTCATGATGCTCGGGGGTGGCCGGCCACACAGCGGGACGGCTGGCGGCTGATGCTCATGATGCGGCCACGCAGTGAGACGGGTACCGGCTGATGCTCATGATGTTCGGCGGCTGCTGGCAGTGGGACGGCTAGCGGCTGATGCTCATGATGCTCGGCGGCCGCTGGCGGGTGGGACGGCCAGCGCCTGATGCTCATGATGCTCGGGGGTGGCCGGCCACACAGCGGGACGGCTGGCGGCTGATGCTCATGATGCTTGCGGCTGGCGGGTGGGACGGCCAGCGCCTGATGCTTATGATGCTCGGCGGTGTCCGGCCACGCAGTGAGACGGGTACCGGCTGATGCTCATGATGTTCGGCGGCTGCTGGCAGTGGGACGGCTAGCGGCTGATGCTCATGATGCTCGGCGGCCGCTGGCGGGTGGGACGGCCAGCGCCTGATGCTCATGATGCTCGGGGGTGGCCGGCCACACAGCGGGACGGCTGGCGGCTGATGCTCATGATGCTTGCGGCTGGCGGGTGGGACGGCCAGCGCCTGATGCTTATGATGCTCGGCGGTGTCCGGCCACGCAGTGAGACGGGTACCGGCTGATGCTCATGATGTTCGGCGGCTGCTGGCAGTGGGACGGCTAGCGGCTGATGCTCATGATGCTCGGCGGCCACTGGCGGCACCTCGAAGTTCAAAACCCTAAACCCTCCTGAGCCCCGTCTTGGGAAACCGATTTCTTGGTTGCAGCCTTGGCGACTGGGGCTTACGCAGAACTTACCCAACAAAACCCCGCAAGGAGCATTGCCTGAATCATGACTAGCTGCATCCTTCACATGATTTTGGGAGCCTCGTCTTTATACTTAAGCAGCGCGGGGGTCGCAGGAGCCGCCGCGCGATGTCATGCAGTCGCGCTGTTGCGCCATTCCACCTTTTCGTTCTCAGAGCACACCTCCCTGCGCCGTTATGCCGCTGTGCTGCTGTGCCGTGCCCATTCCCGAACCTCGATGACGGCACTCGCTCGTGCCGCTGCGCTGTCGCTGCCGTTGCGCCGCACGGCGGGCAAACTTTTTCCAGCCGCAGAGACAATCAATACGTAATTAGGAAGGGACCACGGAGCTCGCATGCTCCTGCCGCGCGCGGAAGAAGCAGCAACGCACCGCTTCGGAGCATCGGGGCGCATGAAGGCTTTTCCTGTATCCCCAAAAAGACACCCAACATAAACACTCACCCAGAAGGCAACTGTATATACACTCGCCAATTAGTTACAGTGATATATACACTGTAATATACACCCTACCTGAGAAACCCATCGCTGCCCTCACCACAACCGACCAGGCTCGGTACGCGGAGCACCTAGCGAAGCCACACGGAGCAGCCAGATGCAGCCAGTGTTCGGGACCCGTGACAGGCGGCGTACCGCAGAGGTTTCGCGCTTCGGGTTCTCTCTTTCATCCTTTGGCTCGGTTTGCGAGACGCCCTCCTCAAAAGGCCTTTCTCAGCTGCAGCAAGCACGCTTCGAAACACAACACCCCTAAACCTTTGCAGCACACCGGCCTTAAACGTAGGGACCTTGAAACCCTAAACCCCGAGGGAATGTTGGTCTTGAAGTCTGGGTACTCCTCAAACTAGGGGAACCTGAATAAACCCTAACAGGGGCAACAGGGGGCAACAGGCGCACTGGCACCAGGGGCAACGGGGGCAACAGGGGCCAAAATACCAAATCCTCACTATAGGAACATATAGGAACCCTCCAAAGAGCACACCAATATTTTCGGAACCGCCAGCATCGAACACATCCGGCCTCACGAAACCCGTGTCGTCAGTCGACGCAGGTGTGCCTCTCGCAGGGCCAGATGTCCAGGCACTTCGCATCTTGGGCGTGCAGGGGTTGGAGTTTGGGGCCCGTGTTCAGGGTTCGGGATTTGGGTGTCTCAGGCTTAGGGTTCGCTCGATGTCCATTTTGCTTTCAAATTCTTGGAGTTGCAAGTCCTGCGCCCCTGCACCAGTGCGAGGCATGACGGAGTTCCCAGAGCACAGCCTCCCAGTTCACCTGTCCTAGGAGCTGAAACCCGGCGCGTCCACCACGGCCTACACCCTTCTGCTTTGAGAGACGGCCTTAGACCCTATGATCTTGAGATGCTTCTCCCTTGAACACCAGCCATAAAACAACAAGCCCAACCCAAACCGTACACCACAAATCCTTTCGGTTAAAAGCCCTACGCCCTAAACCCCAAACCTACAACCCTACTCCCCCCTTGGGCCCCCCCAAAAAAAGAAAAGAACCCAAACCGTAAGCGCGAAACCTTATAAGCCTTCGACCCGCACCCCTTCATCTCAAACACTGAACCCTAAACCCTGAACCCTGAACGGCTTAAAGCCTCCCGTTGGTTCTTGCCACCCCGACGCCCGTGGTGGTGCCCCAAAGTCCCCAACGTTGTCCATCGGATGTTTCGGGTTTAGGTGGCTCAGGGCTAATAGGGTTTAGGGTTTAGGATTTAAGGTTTAGGGTTTAGGGTTTGGGGTTTGGGGTTTGGGGTTTGGGGTTTGGGGTTTAGGGTTTAGGGTTTAAGGTTTACCCCACCTGCCCCTTGGCCACCGCAGTCCGTGCACCCGAAAAACTGCTTGGCATCGCCCACCTGAGTTTGCCAAGGCTAGGGTTTAGGGTTTAGGGTTTAGGGTTTAGGGCTTAGGGTTTAGGGTTTAGGGTTTAGGGTTTAGGGTTTAGGGTTGAGGGTTTAGGGTTGAGGGTTTAGGGTTTAGGGTTTAGGGTTTAGGGTTTAGGGTTTAGGGCTTAGGGCTTAGGGTTTAGGGTTTCGGGTTCGGCCCGTTTACGCATGCAGCTTCGGGCTTGAAAGACACTGAGCCTGCACACTGAACTGTGAGGAAGTGAGCAGAGAACTGCAGGATGCTCCAGGATCTGCGAAAGTGTAGCCGCAAAGCGAAATTTGTGGCAGGTTCAGGCTGTGGCTTTGTGACCCTAAACCCTAAACCCTAAACCCTAAACCCTAAACTCCACAACCATCACAAAATATACACTTGACAACTCCCAATAGCCTCGCAAAGCCCAGGGGTTTAGGGCTTCGGGTTTAGGGTTTAGGGCTTTTGGGTTAGGGTTTAGGGGCTCTCCCCCCCCCCCCTCCCCCAAACCCGAAACCTTCAGGGGTCCTTTGAGGGCCTAGCATCCTCTGGACCTCCCGACCCTAAACCCGAAACCCTGAGGCCGAAACCCTGAACCCTAAACCCTAGCCCTAAACCCTAAACCCCAAACACCAAACCCTAAACCCTAGCCCTAAACCCTAAACCCTAAACCCGAAACCCTAAACCCTAAACCCTAAACCAAAAAGACTTCTGGCTGCCAGGGCGCGCTGCCCAGGAAGATGCCAACCTTGGTCTGCTCTGACTGTTCGGGGACTTTTCGGGTTTAGGGTTTAGGGTTTAGGGTTTAGGGTTTAGGGTTTAGGGTTTAGGGTGTAGGGTTTAGGGTTCAGGGTTTAGGAACTTGAGGGTTTAGGAACCTTAGAGTTTCGGGACTGTAGGGTTTAGGTCCGACTGAGCCCTCAACCCTCCTGAGCCACCACATTAAGGGTTTTTTAAGGTTTGCTTTGCAGGGTTTTGGGCTGAAAAGGAAGCCCTCAACGATTTAAGGACCCGGAGAGTCCCCCGAAAGCCTGAACCAAAGCTATCCCTCCCCCAAGCACCCTAAAGCCCTTGTCACCCTTACGTGGTCTAGGGCTCTGGGTTGGGGGTCACTCCAGCCACAGGCAGGCTCAAGGGCCCTGAAACTCTAGAACACTCCGCAAAAAAACCCTTCACGCTCTGAAGCCCAAGAAAGCCTGAAATTTGGATCCAGGGACGACCTAAACAGAGAGGGTTTAGGGCTCAGGGTTTCGGGTTTAAGGCTTCGGGCTTGTAGGCTTGCAGTGCTTCGGTCTTGGGCCTCATATAGGCTTTTTTAGGCTTCCAGGGCTTGTAGGGCGGTTTGGTGGGCCTTTGGGTTCTTTACGGTTTGGGGGTGTAGGGTTTAGGGTTTCGGGTTTCGGGTGTCGGGTTTAGGGTTTAGGGTTTAGGGTTTAGAGATTGGGGTTTAGGGTTTAGGGTAAGGGGAAAAGGCTCTGGAGCTTGCTGGTGGTGGAGTGCAGGCGGGGGGCAGTGATTATCACGACGCAGACCAGCTGCTTCAGGGTGTAGCGCTGCCGAAAGAGGGCGTACCTTGCACCCTGAACCCTGAACCCTGAACCCCTGAACTCTGAACCCTGAACCCTGAACCCGGAACCCTGAACCCTAGACGCAAGCTACAAAGTAACACCACACCCAACTCCTGGCGCACTCGGAACCCTGCGGTCCAACGGTTTAGGGCTTAGGGTTTGGGGTCTAGAGTTTAGAGTTTAGGGCTTCATTAGGGTTGAGGGTTTCAAGCCTCTCAAGGGCCTGGGCTCATGGAGTTTGGGGTCCAGGGTTTAGGCACCAGCCCAGAGAAACCCCCCCCCCCCACCAACACCGGGAGGGCACCCCAGCAGCACGGAGGCAATCACGTTGCAGGAGCGAAAGAGGGTGTGAATGGGAACCGATATGTTGAAACCAAAGGCGACCTTGCCGGGATTATGGTGTTCAGGCTTCAGGGTCTATGCACCGCACCATGGTTCGATGCTGAGGATCTAGGATTTAGGGTCTAGGTATCAGGGCTTAGGGCTCAGGACTCGGGTTACAGGGTTTAGGGGTTCTTCCGCACGATGATCTCGGGACCCAGAAGTCTTGAGTAAACTACTAACTACACTAGGTTGCTGTTAAGGACTCAACCCAAGATACAATAGTCTGCATATAGCTAACAACCTGTTCTCCGCACGATGATAACTCAGTTCAAACTCCTTGGCAGCAACCCGGTACAACATCGTCAACTCTCTGAAGGGGGGAGGGGCCTGAGAGGCAGAAGTTCAATCGCCGACACTAGGGTTTAGGGTTTAGGGTTTAGTTTTAGAGAAAAGAAGGGTCCCTGAGCCAAGGGTTCGGGTTTGGGGCTTTGTGTCGCAACTGCTCGAAGCAGCCACAAACAAATCATCACAGAGCTTCCTGAACCCTACAGTAACGACCCCCCTCAGGCCCAAGGCACTTAATGACGAAAACACACACCCACGCTGCCCTAAACTTGGCCCTAAGCCCTAATATACCCTCAAATCCTGAACCCTAAACCAGGAGGCATTCGCCAGCACGGACATCGACACCTGAGCGGGCCAAGCCTCAACCTGTAACCCCCCAGAACCTCCGCTCAGGGAGCTTTGGAGTCTCGGGCCTAATTAGACCTCCCCTTCAGACCTTTTGGGGTTTCAGGGAGCTTCGGAGTCTAGGGCCTAATTGGCGTTTAGGGTTGCAGATGCCCTACAACCCTAAACCCCAAACTCTGGTTTCCGCTTCATGGGGCTTGGGTCTCTTCAGGGTTTAGCGGTCTACGGTGTACTGACAGAGCCCTAAAGTCGAACCTTTTTACCTCCACCGGCATGGCGAGGCATACTGCCCCACATCTCAGAGAGACTGAGGGTGTTGAATTTAGGATCTCAGGGAACTTACAATATTAGGATCTGAGGGTTTAGGATTAGGACTTAGGATTTCGTCTCCTCTTTGTTGAAGTAGAGATCGTGGCATTTGTGCTCTACAGATCGAGAACAGATCGGACCTGAAGCTAATTGCTCCAAGATTTTGCCGGGCCGCCCTTTCGCACTATTCTAGGGCTACTTGCACTCCGAATGGCAGCGAACGCAAGTGCAAAAGCGATCACAATTCGTGGATTTACGCGGTACAGACTAGCAGCACCTTGATACCCACTCTAAACCCAACCTAACCTCAAACCACCCAAAAAAAGTATCTAGGCTCGTAGCAGATTAAGGCTTCAGGGTCTTGAGCTTTCGCTGTTCGTGTAGTTGCTGTGGACCCTGCAGAGTTTAGGGGATTGGGTCGTATGAATCTGAGGTTGTACCATGGATCCTGAAGGTTTTACCCGTGGGTTTTGGGGGCCCGAAAAGATCCTTGAGGTAGTGTAAGGGCCATATTAGGAGTATATTGAAAGGGAACCTTTAGGGGTACCAAGGTAGAGGTATGAGTCTGAATCCCTTAAATGAAGGACGGGGCCCCCCGCCCAAAGGGCAGCATGCTGTGCGTGACCTGCCAAGCAAAAATTGGGTCAGGGCGAAGGCAGCAAATTAGGAACCAAACGCCTTCTTTTGCGTAGGAACTGGCTCTGTCCCTTCTGGGATTCTTGGGTTTTCAAAGGCTTTCTACCTCAAGAAAAAGGGTTCCGGCTCCTGAGTCCCAGCTGACCTGGCCAGCTATGACGCAAACCCCCGGCTCAACAAAAATGATGAGGAAAATTGCACATATGGGTATCAACTCCGAAGTCATTCATGCTTCGACCAAAGCCCAAAGCCCGCCAAGCCCTGGAATCCTAAATTTTGAGCCCTAAACCCTCACCCTAAACCCTAAACCCGAACACCTAAACCTAACCCGAAACCCTAAACCCTAAGCCCTGAACCCTAAGCCCTGAACCCTAAACCCTAAACCCGAAGCCCGAAATCCCACTTTAGCCCCCGACGTTCAATCTCTCGAGCTTAAGGGTGCTAAACTTCGGAGTTACATCGTCCCGCTGAAGGGGGAGCATCCTTCACTGCTTTCCAGGGCTCCCGTTCATTTCGGGTTTAGGGCTTAGGGCTTAGGGCTTAGGGTTTAGGGTTTAGGGTTTAGGGTTTAGGGTTTAGGGTTTAGGGTTTAGGGTCTAGGGTGGGTCTGAGCCAAACCCCGAAACCCTAGATCCTGAACACCTGAGCCAAAGCTCCGGAACACCAAAACCAATCGAGGCGTACTTCACAAGCAGCCACCTGATCTTAGCACCCTGCACCCTGGCACCCGTCCCGCACACTGGAATTGAGGATTTCAGGGTTTCGCCTTCCAGGCTTATTGGGGCGTAAACGGGTTGTGCGCTTGTAAGGGCTGATCATCAGGGCTCATACAGGCCCATGAGGTTGCGTGAAGGCTTCTAAGGGTTTAGGAGCCCTGCAGAAAGGGCTCAGCTCCCTGCTGGAGAGGGGCATTTTCAGCGGTATCAGCCGCAATCCCGCCTCGGCATGTATGTGGGCTTTGAGGTTTAAGAAGGGTTTAGGGTTTATGGTTTAGGGTTTTTGGTTTAGGGTTTGAGATCTCTCAAGGTAAGCTAGGGCCTAGAATATTTGTTTATGCACACACCCTGTATTCTAAGGGACGAATTGTTGCTGTAGAGCTGCTCAAAAAACCCTCGTACACTGTAGTCCATCTGAGCAGCCCCGACATTAATGCCAAGCCCCCAAACCCTAACAACGTGCTAACTCGGGATGAAGCCACACCAGCGCCTGCGTGTGGGCCCCGCGCGTCTTTGGTCTCTAGCCGGCTTGGAAGGCTTTGAAGCAGCACGAAGGCAAACCTGGGCATGGTGGGTCCGGTTTTGGTCTGCCTTGTGAGCCTGGCGATGGCTTGAAGTGTAGTGCCCTTCGAACCTCAATGTGGAAACTTTCTAGTCAAAGCAAGGTTCTCTGCAAGCGATTGGTATGAGTGTTGAGGCTTAGGACCCAGGTTTCGGGCTTGGGGCCCCAGGGTGTTCCTTTCAATTCTGGCTGGGGTTTAGGGCCCAGGGTTGCAGCCTGACTTCAGCTGCAAGTGGACAGACGTCTTGGTACTTAGGAGCGTGCTCTGACAGGCTCAGGAGATTGCCCGCTTGCGGATTGGCCTGTCAGAATCTTGCCAAGACCAGCAGGGACCTTTCCCAAAACCCCAAGCCCCTCACAAATCCTGAACGCTAAATCCGAAACTCTGCACCCACATCCTAAAGACTAACTAACCCTAAACTCTACATCCGAGCCCTTGAACCTAAATCCTTCCAGCCCACAGCTGCTTCATTCAAATCTCAGAATTGCCGGGCAGTCTCTGGCTTAGACCTCCAGCCCCTACAGTCTCTAGTTTTAGGCTGCAGGGCGTGCAGTCTCTGGCTTACGGCTCCAGGGCTTGCAGCCGGGTTTCTTAATTGAGGGGGCTTTATAAACATGAAGTCAACATTATAAGGGGGAACATCCCAGCTTAAACACCTAAACTCCTAAACCCTCAATCCCTAAACACTTCCTTGCCGAAGCCCCCAGAAAATACCCTGCACGCTAACGCCTCAAAAACATCACTAGTAAAACTCAAACACCCTTACAAACACCTAACACCATAAAGCCCGGAAATTTGCCTAACCCTGAAAAACCGACAAGGCCTTTACAAACGATAAAGACCCCAAAAGAGATGTCCATCCCAAATTTACAAGACAGAAGGAAGACTAGGACAAGAGAAGGTCAACTGAACTCTCGCTTCATTCATACCTCCGCTTCGTATAGCTTCGTATGACTCCATTAACTTTAACCAGCCATATGGCGATCAAAGCTCAGAAAATCCCGCCGCCCCAAATCCTACATGCAAAAGCTCAGGCCCTGAACCCTAAACCCTAGATTGCCTTACATGTTTAGGGTCTCCAATGCAACAACTTGAAACGCGCGTCGTTCATTTGGGGCGTTGACGTCTGTGCGCACTTTAACTGGGTTTCTGTCAAGGAACACAAGTGTTGAGCTACCAAAATGCGAGTACGGGTCTAGGGCTTAAGCTTTGGGGCGGTTACCATCGCAAAAAAACAGAGTGCCCTCCCCCCCTGCCCGGTACGATGGTAATTTTTGTTTCGGTTTCTGAACAAGAGTCCAGTCATAAGGATTCATTCAATTGAGGGCGCCAACTTGGGAGTTGCTTGCACTCAAGCTTTGGGTTCGGGTTATGAGTTACCATAATATGGGTTTTGGGTTTAGGGCTTAAGGTCCTAAACCAAGGGCCGAAACCCTGAGTAACAACTCTTTTGCCACTGCCTTGAGCACATACTCCATGGCGATGACAGCGGACATGCAGCCACCGAACACCTGGGAATATGTTTTAAAATGTTTTAAACACGAGTGTCAAGCTCCAACCCACATAGCTTTAGAGTCTAACTTTAGAGGCTTAGGACATTTGTGGCCCCTTAAACAAAAAGCTTCCAGGAAAATCCTCGGCTTGTTGAGCTTCCCCAGCACAACCGTTTGGGCGCGGGGTTTCGGGTTTGCGGGTTTAGTGTTTAGGGTGTAGGGCTTGTCACCTTAAAACCTAAGCTCATACGGGCAACGCTTGAAACCAGAATCCTGGGGCAGAGACCATGACGAAAGGTAGACACTTCTGAAAGCTGCCTCATGGGGGGGGAAGGTCCAGTTCTGGCTTGCAGCTTCTGAAAGGACCGGCTTGCTTTCCACATGGGACGGAGGGTTTGGGGAGTTTAGCTCCCTAGTTTAGGGTGTTTAAGGCTACATGTTCTGTCTTTCAGTGCCGTCTATCTATATCGAGACGCAACAAGGCTACGACGCTGTGGAAGCTGACAGCGGCATATCGGGGCAACGGGCATGCGGCATGATGGTTAGCGTGCCGGTGCCTCCATCTTCCTGGCTGCGAGCTTCCTCCACACACAACTAAGGTTGGTACAGCTTCGTGAATTCAGGATATCCAGCTAGGCAATCCACATGAAACTGGGAACGAGCCTCAAAGTTCGGGAACAACCACGACATCTATCTGCCTATGCTGCTCGATATGCCTACGAAAAGGTTCTACCGAACTTGGGGGCCGTGAGCTCTTAAGCTCTGACTGAAGCTTTGAACTGCAAAATCCTCCCACGTCACATCACCACGCTCCCGTCCTCAGCAGCCATCCACGCTGCGAGGCAGGAGCACGAATTCTGGAAATGAATCTGAAACCCAGAATCTGCCTCTGAGCTTTAGGGCTTACAGGGCTTGAAGCTGGGCTTTCGGAGCTCAGGGGGCACCGTAGCTGTTGGGCGGATGTAGAACCCCCCCCCTGAGCAAAGCTACCACCATTGCTATGGAGCTTGCTTGGGAGGCTGAAGGATGGATGTCGCACGTGAGCATAAGATCACCTCAAGCCTAAACATCCCGCTAAACACATGACGCCTGCTTCTACTGTCACCCTAAACATCCCTAAACACATGACTTTTGCTATCGCTGTCTCTCGTCTCCGGAGGAGAGCCTATACACGGCATAGCTGTTCGGAGGAGAGCCACGAATACAGCTGCATCTCAAGCGCGGCTGGGAATCTTCAATATCTTCTTCAGCAACTGTTTGCGCAAGCTGCACAAGGGATCTGAGAACCCTAAACCCCAAACCGGACCCTGTTAGACCCTGGAAACCTCACTCAACACAACTCAGCGACCCACATCTAATCAAAAAGCTCACTCACGCATTACTTGCGAAGCTACCTCTCCATGTGCCAACCCTTCAGCTTAAAGGTCCACCTACGTAAGAAGGAGACGACGAAGTCTCCGGAACTTGAAAGGAGGACAGCGCCTCGGTCACCACAAAAGGGTTTAGGGTTTAGGGTTTAGGGTTTAGGGTTGAGGGTTTAGGGTTTAGGGTTTAGGGAACTGAAATCCTTGGGTGGCATTGCTATGCCTGTTGCCGCATGCCTTCAGGGCCGTCAGGAACGAGGCTTTATGGGGGGACCTCATGGCGACGAGTGGCGTGCCAGTAGGGCAGTAGCCTGGATTTGGCTTGAGATCACAAGGGGAGCATGTGCCGAGACCGGGCAAAGCCAGCCACTCCGAGCAACCCTTGTGCATGTCGGACCTTTTTTGCCAACCACGCCAGGATGACTCCAGGCTGAAGATCCCGAGTGGCGCCTCTTGAGTCGGACCCCAGCCTGCGCGTGGCAATCATCGGCGATCATCGGTGTGCAAAATCGACAGAAGCAAGTTGTACTGCATGTTTCGTAGGGATGTTCTTTTCCAGATGCCGCGACGTGAGCAGTGAAGGACCCCAACGGCTGATCAAGGAAGGTTCTTGAGGATTTTACCCTTAGGTCAGAGAAGCATCTTTTGGAACCGAATCGACCTTGAAGGCGACCCACATCGATGAAAACACGGCCGAGAGAAAGACCCCGTGATGAGACGAGGATAGACCAACATATGAGAGTCATGGGGGCTCAACACCGGATCTAGGAAGGCTTCAAGGGTGCGGTCGCTCTTGAATGGTGCATTTCCTGTTCATGTTGTGTCACGTGGAGGAGGCTTCTATGCGCCGGCTCCTCCAGGAAGCGAGAGCCCAGAATCCAACGGCCAAAGAGATTGGAAATGTGCGGTCTTGGCAGAATGGCAACATGTTGCGGATGCGGCTTGGGGGGGCATTTAACATTTCTTGTAAGGAGGGCTGCACTTCTGGGCAGTTTCACGAACCAACTTTGGGGCAACCAGCCGGGCGCCTTCTCAGGATCACATGAAGATGTTTTTCTTCTTCACGGGCAGGGCCTACGGACACGGGCAAGTCGGGAGGAGCCTAGGGTCTTGTCACCTTGGACGTTGGTTGCACAACATCCCCTACGAAAAATCCACGATCCCCGGGTGCCCCCAGCGCACCACACCTGCAGCTTGGCATCGAGTTCTGCTTTCGCGTCGTCGCCTCGGGCCGGGAAGGGAGAGCACGAGGCCGGCGGCGGAGTTCCCCGGCTCAAACTCTCGAGCGCAAAGGTGGCGGGCTTACCGCCTACGATATAAACCTTTTAGTTTTGGAACATGTTCGTTACAGTTTTCCTGCGCAGCCTTTTTCATACATTCGTGACACAAGGTTCTGTGTAAACTTCAGATGATGAAGATGATAACTTTGGTTTGGACTATGTGTGCACTCAGCTCATGGACCTAAACGACCCAGTGGAATACGATGAGGCTGAGTACAAGCAAATCAAAGAGGGAACTCACTTCTTTTTCATGATTTTATGCTCTTTTTGTGAGGAAGGGTTCAGGTCAGGGCAGGAAAGCCTAGGAGGGTTCGGTGATGAGCGTTGCTTCCAGGACTCCAAGACTTAAACCACCCGTATAGAGTTGCCTTTCCTAATCACCCATTGAAGGGGCACCAGTTGCCGGCAGAGTGGCATCACAAGAAACGTAAGCTTTCGTTTAAATTCGAACCCCGACCGGGGCTCCGGGCCCAGCTGGTTGTCTTCCAAATCCAGAGTCAGCTCCTGGAGCTGCGGCAGCCGGCCCAGGGCTTCCGCCAAAGAGGCCGCGCCGTCGGGGCCTCAGGGTGGAGCTGCTGGAGCTGAAGTTGACGTGCCGAAAAAAGGGGGCATCAGGTCAGGGCTATAATGTTGTGCGCGAGTGTTCGGCGCTGACTTGCCACAAACGATTCATAGCTAAGGTGGCTTCTTCCAGTTTTTTTAAACGCGATTTTTTAGAAACGTGCGCGTCCATCCTTGAGCCCCTTTGTATTGGTCTTTACAATGATGCATGGCTGAGGTGGTTTCTTTCAGTTTAGAAACAAGATTTTTTTGCGCGTTCATCCTTTGGTCCCTGGGGTGTTGGGTCTTCACAAACGGTTCATAGCTGAAGCGGTTTCTTCCGATTTAGAAACCAGATGTCTGTAGAAACGCGCGCGGCCTTGCGGGGCGCGGTTTCGGGCCAAGTTTCTGGTAGTCACGGGGGTTCAAGGCCTGGGAGTCCCCCAGAGGGTCAACCATGATGCAGTCTTCAGGCTTATAGGGGTCATACACACAAACAGCAACCCACCGTTGCTTTGGGCACCTGGGCTGCCACTCGCAGCAAGCCCCGCTTTTCGGTTCGAGATGCGAGGTTTGCCTTGCCCCCCAAAGCCGGCCCCCAAAAACTCCATCACAGCAAGCCCTCCTTTTTGGCTCGAGATGCGGGGTTTGCTTTATTTTGCTTGCTGTCTCCCAAGTGTGGGGCCCAAGACTCCTTCAAAGCATTCCCCGCTTCTCGGCTGGCGCTTGGGAAGCGGGGGTGGGAGGGAGGGTTCTTTTTCGGCAGAGGGACACGTCGTACAAACAAACAGTACAGAAACCCATGGACGTTTGGTGGGCCCGGCAGCACGCCGCAACAAGCACTGCCTAAAGAAAGCCTTTTCAAGCAAGTGCAGGCACCCGGCCCGCACTTTTAGGTTTTGCGGACCCCCTCTTGTCTCAAGCTCCGCAAAAAATGCTGACAACACTGTTCCTGTCGAGACTTGCTAAATGCTATAAACAAGATGGCTTTGTCTACCGCTCCGGCACCTGCAAGCCCACGCAGACGATCAGTAAGCTACTCCCAAAACCTCCCAAAACATCCCAAAACCATTCTTTGAAAGGGCGTCCAAGATGCGGCGGCCTGCGACTTTGCGTTTGAGTGCGAACGGGTCATTCCCCTCACGTACGGGGCCGGCCCAGGCTTTTCAAAGGCCATTTTTGCCGCCATCCCTCCGCGAATGCTAGAGGCACCGGCTCACGGCTCCAGGTCTCGAGAGGTGTTGTAGGCACAAGCATACAAGGTGAGGTGGGAGCAAAGGACAAACCTCACAAACCTCAGTGGTTCGGCATGGGACATGGGATGCGAGGAAGGCAGTGACTGCACGAGCCGCCCCTGGAATCATGTTTGGATGTCAAGTGATTGGCATCTGCTGACAGATTTGGAATAGCTTTCTTAGCCCCCCAAACCCTTCACATCTTAACCCCGTCCCATTTTTTTCCTGTCCACGCGCACCACTGTGGCTTTAACCCCGCTTTCAGGGTTTCCCGGTTTAGGGTCTAGGGATCCGCCGTCACTTCTACGAGCAGCCGGGGTCTCGGGAGTGAGACATGGACACGTAATGGACAAGGAGGAGAGTGAATCATGTACCTCTCTTTATGTACCTCTTTCTGGCATCGACGAGGTTGCCATTCAACATCTTAGAAGGGCCATCGCAGCGGACTGTTGGAGGGGGGAGGGGGGGTACATACTTAGCAGATACTTAGACCCTGAACCCTAAACCCTAAACCCTTTACCCTTCACCCTAAACACTTTACCCTTCAGCCTAAGCCCTAAACCCTG